AATAATAGAAATGTGGGGGTCTTTCGACCTCTAAAAATTTATGAAAGTCACCTGTATACCTGTATGAGCCATAATCTTTAGTAAAAGACGAAAACTTAGCACGTTACAGGTTAAGTTCAGTTATGAATGAGTTTTAAAATAATTTAATGGGCTTAAATATTAAATTAATTTTTCTATTTTTATAGGTTTTAATCTATTTTTATCAAATTAATATAGTATCTATCATAATGTTAAAACTAAAAAATTTATAGTTTAGGATAGTCGTGGTGGTTTCTATAATAAAGGGGTTAAAAGTAAGGCAAATGAATTGAGCTAGATGAGGGTTTTGCATGTAAAAATAGGTCACTCATGTTGGCGAATATACTATTATAGGTATGAAAGTTGGAAAATGGGATATTCTTTAAAGATATTAGAATAAAAGATTAAAAAATAGATAAATGTAAATATTTTAAATGTAATTTGAGTTTAGTGTGGAGGTGGGATTTATGAAAAAGAAGGATTTAATAAAAAGATTGGATAGTGGGTAGTTTTGGATGACAAATTTGATGATGATAAATAAGTCACATATAATGGTTAATATATGAAAGTAGGGAAATGGGATATTATGTATTTTAACAGAAAGAAGAAGGAATATCAATTAATATAATCTTTAAATAATCATAAAAAAATATTCATTTTAGATATAGTAGACCATATGATTAAAAAAGAGGATAAAAAAGATTGGAAAATGGATAGAATTGATTGATGGAATTTAATGATTTTTGATTAAGTTCAAAACTAATTATTTTTGATATCGATAATAATATGAAAAGGTATGAAGGTTGGTATAGAGGATAATACATGACAAGCCAAATAGATAGTTTAAAGTATAATGAGGTAATTACATTCGTAAATTTGACTAAATTATTCTAATCTCTTATTGCAAAAATTTACAATGTCTTTCTTTTGTTATAAGAAGCTTATTAATATGATTTGCCTTTAAAAACAATTTGAAAAAATGATAAAGGTAATTTATTCTTCAATACTGATCATTTATGTCAAAGAAATAAATTAAATTTCAAAATTAAAATTAATTTAAAATCAGATTTTTAAGCAAAAATTATTAATAGAGGGAGAATTATTTTGATGTTTCTTAAATTAAGAAAGGATTATTAAGTAGTCCTGTATATATATAATCCAATTATTAAGTTAATATTTATAATCTTAATAACTGTATTTTCTCATTTAAAATTTGATTTCAAATTTATTAATTCAAGTCGTAATTATATTCTAACAAATTACTAAGAGTTTTTATTATTAATTAAGAAATTGCTTGATATAATATACATATATCTATATTTTTATATTATTCATAATTCTTTACTTTTTCTAATTTAGATTTTATTTGATTTTCTATCCCAAGTGATCAAATATTTTCCATCCTCGCTCATTCTTCCAAATAAATTTGTAGTTCCAAAATGAATAGATTATTCAGTTAGAAACTCTCCATTTTATTGTTTCCTAATCAAATTGACATATTCACCATTCTTACTCAATAGAATACATTCAGAGTATACATATTGTTAAGGAAATAAACATTGATCATCTGGCCCACACTTAACTGTAATATCTCTAATCTTGGTAAACTACTTATTGATATTATTCATCTCAAAAACAGATATCTATTCTGTAGCATAAGGTGAGAATATGAACATATTATTACCAATAAAGCATACTCTATACCCATACTTTTCAACTGTAATCTTTTATATTACATTCCATTCTGTATTCTTTTCTGATTATTCAATTATTAATATAACTTTATCATGTCCACATGATACTATTCTATTTTATTATTAATTCAAATTTAAATCATATATATAACCAGAATGATCAGTAATCGTTTATTAACACAACCATTCATTCTTATTAATCCAAAATTTAATAGTGGTGTCACTACTCCCAGATATAATTAGATCTTCATTTATATTTATTACTAAACAAGAGATCCAAAAATTATGTCCATTTAATCTCAATTATGAATCCCATAAATTATTTTAATTTTATTTCCATATAATTATAGAATTATCTGAACTTCCAAGATATAAATTATTTTGATTTCTTCATAAAGGTTAAAGTGTGTACCCAATTCTTATGTTCATTTAAAGTTTAAATTTATTTGATGATTCCTTAGTTGAATTCAAATACTTTAATTTGTAAATAACATCCAGCTAATAATGTTGAACATTCATTATCAATAGCGATAACCAAACAGATATCACTTTATGAAATTTAAGATTCTTCGATTATTTCTTAACTGAATGATTTCCAAGTGGTTGAATAATTAGACTAAATACTTTATTATTTTTCAATATTGAATCCTGTATTTAGTTGTTTCATTTCTAAATTGTTTAATATATTGATTAAGTATTCTTATTTACTTTGCATAAAATTCTGGGGGACCTAATTCTAAATTCTTTAATAGTTCTTTACATTCATTATAGT